GCAACGGCGACGGCTAGCGATCTAAGGCCGCGTTTCGCCATGACCATTCTCTTGTCCCGCCTGGGTCTGTTATCGCCGGTTTTCGCAGCGGTGACTCCAGGGTCATCCTTGATCCGTTGTTTCAGGTTCTGGGAATCCATCGGGAACACGGGTGGAGAGAAAGAGAAAGGGATAGAAGAGGGAATGAATGAGCAATGATGCCTGAGGAATTTCAGGCGGGGTTTAAATAGCGGGGAACGTGTTTTCCGCGGTAATGCTGTTTGGGAGGTGGGAAATGGAGTGACACGTGGATGGCGGAGGTGGCAAGGAGTGGAGGTAAAAGTCGTACACGTGGACGAGAAACAGTGCCGAACTGGAGCCTGGATAAAATTTGTGGGAACAATTAATTAATCACATGTGACACGTGGATGAAAGCTCTGACACGTGTCAGAAAAATGAGGTGATAGACTTTTTAGCTCTAGTTTTTGGTCACAGAGGACATGGAACTATTAAACAAACGGAAATTCTAGGCAAGGGTTTTTATTATTGTTATTATTAGGTTAAAACCCCATTTTGGTCCTTGAACTATTACGGAGAACCACGATTTGGTCCCTAAATTTAAAAAAAATTTTATTTGACTCTTACTATTTACCATTTTAACCTCAATTTAATCCTTCTGTTAAATATCCATCGTTAACTCACATAGAGTTAATGACATGACAAAAATTTAAGACACATCAGATAAAAATGATAACATGGCAACATGACAAATTATATTTTTGCCATGTAACCCACCAAAATTACAATTTTGCCCTCATCTTCTTCCTCTAGCATCCTTTTCCGCGAATCTTCTTCATTCATCTTCTTTTTCCCTCTCTTTGCCTCCTCCGACACAACTTTCATCGCCATTTTTCTAAATCAAACAATTAATTCAATGAAATGGAATTCCATTCTTCATCAATCAATTCTTCTTTTTCATCAAATAACAAAACCCACAAAAAAACAACAATTTTTTTTAAAATTTTTTGCTTTAGAACCCAACGCCTGGGTTCGAAAGAAAGAACCCAACACAATTTTACCCTCATCTTCTTCCTCTAGCATCCTTTTCCTCGAATCTTCTTCATTCATCCTTCTTTTTCCCTCTTTGTGCCTCTTGTGACACAACTTTCATAACCATTTTTCTGAATCAAATAATTAACTCAATGAAATAGAGTTAATGACATGGCAAAAATTTTAACCCCAATTTAGTCCTTCCGTTAATATCCATAGTTAACTCACATAGAGTTAATGACATGACAAAAATTTGAGACACATCAGATAAAAATGATAACATGGCAGCATGACAAGTTATATTTTTGCCATGTAACCCACCAAAATTACAATTTTACCCTCATCTTCTTCCTTTAGCATCCTCTTCCTCGAATCTTCTTCATTCATCTTCTTTTTCCCTCTCTTTGCCTCCTTCAACACAACGTTCATCGCCATTTTTTTGAATCAAACAATTAATTCAATGAAATGGAATTCCATTCTTCTTCAATCAATTCTTCTTCTTCATCAAACAACAAAATCCACCAAAAAAAAAAAAAAACAGAAATCTTTTTAGAATCCAACGCAATTTTAGCCTCATCTCCTTCCTCCAGCATCCTTTTCCTCGAATCTTCTTCATTCATCCTTCTTTTTCCCTCTTCGTGCCTCTTGCGACACAACTTTCATCACCATTTTTCTGAATCAAACAATTAATTCAATGAAATAGAGTTAATGACATGGCAAAAATTTTAACCCCAATTTAGTCCTTCTGTTAAATATCCATCGTTAACTCACATAGAATTAATGACATGGCAAAAATTTGAGACACATTAGATAAAAATGATAACATGGCAACATGACAAGTTATATTTTTGCCATGTAACCCACCAAAATTACAAATTTACCCTCATCTTCTTCCTCTAGCGTCCTCTTCCTCGAATCTTCTTCATTCATCTTCTTTTTCCCTCTCTTTGCCTCCTCTGACACAACTTTCATTGCCTTTTTTCTGAATCAAATAATTAATTCAATGAAATGGAATTCCATTCTTCATCATCATCAAACAACAAAATCCACAAAAAAAACAAAAATCTTTTTAGAACCCAACACCTGGGTTTGAAAGAAAGAACCCAACACAATTTTGCCCTCATCTTCTTCCTCCAACATCCTTTTCCTCAAATCTTCTTCATTCATCCTTCTTTTTCCTTCTCCGTGCCTCCTGCGACACAACTTTCATCACCATTTTTCTGAATCAAACAATTAATTCAATGAAATAGAATTCCATTCTTCATCAATCAATTTTTCATCACCATCAAACAACAAAACCCACAAAAAAAAAAAAAAAAAAATTTTTTTAGAACCTAACACCTGGGTTTGAAAGAAAGAACCCAAGCATTGGGTTCGTTTGAACCCAACGACTGGGTTTGAATGAACCCGCACCTAGGTTCGAAGGAACCCAGGGATTAGGTTCAAAGGAACCCAACGACTGGGTTTTTCAAACGAACCCAAGGACTAGGTTCTTCAAACGAACCTAGGGATTGGGTTTGAATGAACCCAACGATTGGGTTCTTCGAACGAACCTAGGCCTAGGTTCTAAGGAACCCAGTGCCTAGGTTCAAATGAACCTAGCGACTAGGTTCTTCGAACGAACCCAGGCTTGGGTTCTAAGAAACCCGGTGCCTAGGTTTTAACGAACTCAGTGACTAGGTTCTAACAAACCCAAGCATGGGTTCCGAAGAACTCAGCGACGGCTGCTGGGTTCGATGGGTTCTAAGGGTGGAAGGGTAAAGAGAAACGGAAAAAGAAAGGGAAAGAAAGGAAAAAGAAAAGAAGAAAGAATTTTTTTAAGTTTTATTTTTCATATTATTATATTTTTATACTATTATTTTTTTCGCCATGTGTATAATATTTTGCCACATTATCCCATAACAGTAAATTAACAGCACAGGTAATGAGATTTTTAACGGAATGACTAAATTGGAGTTAAAATGGTAAACAGTAAGAACTAAATCAAAGATATTTTAAGTTTAGGGACTAAATTGAGTGTCCGTATAATAGTTTAAGAACCAAAATGGGATTTTAACCTTATTATTATTATTGGTTGTCTTAATCTTAACATTCTTACTATACCTTTACTGATGAATTAGAAATATATAGTTTTGGAGTAAAGGTGTAAAAAAAGATGT